AATATCAAACTAGTAGTTTCATCCAAGGTTCCAATGCATTTTATTCAAGTAATTTTTAGACTTCATACGAAAACTGTCTGTCAGGGAAGTTTTGGTATAGTGCAGAAGAGATAAGTTAACAGAAACAGGCTAGGGAATAACTGCCTTTTCTACCTGGGAAAAGAACTGAAAGAGAAAAGGAAACATGGTTGAAGTCAGCCTTCTAAAAAGTGACCATTAAAACAAAGGTGAGCCATCTGTTAAAGAGAGTTACTCAGAATGCACATTTTTTTATGGAAAAAGGTCCTTATACTGTAAGGTCCAACTAAGTAGTTAGTTGGGGAGACAAGGGCATTTCTATTATACATTCATCTGCTTTCCACATAAAGTCCGTAAACATAAAAAGTGCTCTAACATTGAACAAAAATTTTCAAGATTTGCACATTTTACACAAGGTGGGATGCTAGAGAGGCCTGCAGTAAGAAATGTGCAGAGATAGAACAGGAGGGAGTATGTTTTCTAACTAGGCAATGTCCTATGACCTGGACATTAAGAACACAGGGCAAAGAGAAGATGAGACACTGTAAAGCAAAGATGAGATAACAACGTGCTCCATTCATAAATGGGATTTGATTAATTCATATGGGAGGATGATTCTCTTGAGGCTAAGAGAGAAAGATCTGATGGAATTAATTATTTTTTCTCCTTACTGGAACAGTGCTAGAGGGTGTCACAAAATACAAGCATAGCCACAGATGAGCAGAATCAATACAGCAGTCTTACTAGTTGATGTATATATGTATGTATGTATGTACGTATGTATTTTTCTCTTTCCCACAAAAGGAACACAAAGAAGGAAAGTTGATTTGTGGCTTGAAATCTTTTCCCCATGTGTTTATAATTTCCCCTCTGCATTTGTCTCGAAGGACTGGTTCTAGTTATACAGAATCATGTATATTCTAATTGTAATTCATGGCAGAGGAGCATGTTAAAAGCAAGACTTTCTTTCAGAAATATATATCTCAAGAAAGTCTGCTTAGTTAGATACATTACAATAGTTTCCAAATTTATTTCTGCCGTAAAATAACTACAACAAAAACAATCAGGACAAAATACAGTGTAATTGTATTTTCTATTTGTAGCCTCCATGAAGATAACAAAAAAAGTTTAAGAGTGGGAAACCATTACAATTAAAGGAGAAGCAAAATGATATGAGAGGAGACTACAGCCCCAAATTTGGAAAGGTGATATATCTGTAATCCCAGATGTTCTGGAGCTGGTCCATATCATGTCACAAAATGAAATGAAAAGTCTGGTAAGCACAACAAACGATTCATATCCTGGTACTGGACTTGAAACACACGCAAATAAATAGAATAAATAGAAACATTTTGTAAAACATTGGACCCTGCCTTATGAGGTACCTTGAATTTGCTTTGTTGCGTCCTCCACTGGAATGAGGTTTTGCATTCCAAGGATGAATATAATTACTGTCTGTTGGAAAGCAAGAACATTTTTAATAGGTGAATATCAAACTCTTTAACTCATATCACCAGCTGCTGCAAATTAATGATAAAGAAAGGAAAAATAGCAGCCAATTTTAAAGCAGCAGAGCAGCTGTTGAACTCTACATAGCAGTTCCTACATTGTCAAGCTAGCTACTTACCTCAGCACACGTTGCAAATAGTTTTAAGTCCAGCAAGTGCTCTCTTCAGGTCTACACTTTGTGAGTAAGCTTGGAAAACAAGTGCAGATTCAACTCAGGACACAGCCCAGAGTTCAAATCCAAGTATTCAAGATTGAGTGCTCGTGGAAAACAATTTACCTATATAGGCATTTGAGCAGTGTAAATACTGCCCGCAGGGATGAGAATGTGTGGCCAGAGGTAAAATAAAACTACTGACTCAGGGCTGTATGCTGTCCTCTGCCTGTGGGAGCTGGGCCACAAGTACAGGTTAATCATCACACAGTGACTCTGGCTAACAGAAGTGTACATTTTTGATAAGTCAGAACTTCTTTCCTGAGGTTACAAAGATTCCAGGATGAATCCTCATGGCCAATCATCAACTCAGAGATACAGCGTTTCAAAAATCTGCTCCAAATGCAGAATTCAAAATTTGATGGAGTTGAAAAACTATATTAGATACTAATAACTATTACAAAGCCTTAGAATGAGTGATACTAGAAATAGCAGAGATTACAAAGATTTCTTTTGTTTTCTATTTGATTACTTGATGATATAAATCTATGTTATAGTTTTATTTTGAGTCTCTGTAGTACAATTAATGGTGGCTGTAGATGACATTTAAAGATTCTGGATAAAAAGTGATATTTATTTTAAGAGAAAACTGACACCTGAATATAATATTACTGATATTTTTGCTGTTCTTAGTCATGAACAGAAGGCCATAAAGGATTAAACACATCTAGTGTTAATGCTAATTCCCCCATACGTCAGCATTACAGGGTAAGATCTAGATGATTTCAAAGGGTATCATGAAAATTTGAAAGTGGAAAAGGACAAAAATCTGAAATAGGAGGAAGATTTTTCAGAGTTTCAGTAGTTCTATAGAGAGCTGGAGTTCACAGCTGCACAAGAGGGCTTTTATTGGTTATTAAATACTTTTTCTTTAGTTCAGAATTTTGCCTGTTCATCTTAAAAATATATATATAAGTATATATTTTATATAGAAGTAATCCTAAATTTGTGTAATATCACAGTTCACAACTATAAGAAATATATTTAAAGGTACTAGAGGCACATGATCTTTCTTGACTAAAACAGTTTATCAGTCATTAATTTTCCATCACATTTGAAATAGGATTGAGAACTGCATTTGCTAGATGAAGAAGATAAAAGATTAACAGACCATGTACAAACTTGTTTGCATGAATTTTGTAAGAAATTTGTAACAACTACTTCGGAATTGTAACAGGATCTTTCCTATCGCAGACTGGAGACCTATTTTTCTACAAGAAAGAGAATGACTGTGACTGTAAACCCTGAAGAAAGGAATTATAGGATTTTTAGGGCACATTCACTCCCATGGGTTGCCACCAAGTGGGATCACTGTGGGTCTCCTCATCTCTGTTGATGGTTTTACTGTTTACGGATGTGGAGTGTGGTGAGAATGGAAAGCAGATTCCTGGCTTTCCTATTAATTCAGACTTCATTTGGGGAAGGAAGAAATGAGCAAACTTCATTTTTAATGTTTCTTAGTAGGGTTAGGAAGGAAGGATGTAACATTTAGACACATACATAAATCTTTTTTAAAATCGGCACCAGAGGGCAGTGGGCATGGAACAGCCTGCCCAGGGCAGTGGGCACGGCCCCGAGCTGCTGGAGCTCAGGGAGTCTTTGGACAGTCATACTGTCTGATTTTTGGGTAGTCCTGTGTAGAACCACGAGCTGGATTCAGTGATCTTTAAGGGTTCCTCCCAGCTTGGTATATTCCATGACTAACAGAAAAATTAGGAAAGCTGTAATTACTGAGCACCGTGGACTTCTCTCCATGCTATCCTTTGGATGTGGAAAGCTTAGTAGTTTTATTAAGTCTCTCGTAAATAAAATACTTGCCTAATTCATGCAGTAAAAGAAATAAGAATAGCCTTGTTCTGACAGGAAGGAGACAATTCAGCAGCTACGTGCCCCCGCTAAAAAAGGAAGGCTAAAATTAAGTCCAGTTGCAGGGAAACTCAGGCCTGTGCATCCAGAAGTCTTTCATCTGGATCAAGCTACCTTTTCAGTCTGTTCAGCTGTACTTGTAAAAAATTAGAAGTGGGGAAAGATAACGGTCTGAGAATGGAAGGGAGCATTTTCAGCAGGGCAGGGGCACACTTGGCCAAGACCAACAGACTTTTGACACCAATCGCTCTGCAAAGGGCACTTCATGCAGGATACCAGCAGTTTTGCACATGCAAGCAAAAGAGGCAGATCTCCCTGTCACCCACAGGGGTCAGGAATGGAGATGGAGCCTGCAGGGCAGCAGGAGGGACTGGGATGGTCTCAGACCCCACAGCGGGGCAGGTCAGGGGGGCTCAGGACGGCTCTGATTTATGGGCTGTCTGGAGAGGAGGGTTGGGGTGGCTCAGCTCCTGGCAGGCCCCACAGGAACTCACAGAAGCTTCCAGAAGGTGCTGCAGCCAAACCCAAACCAAACCACAGCTATGTGAACTGCTTCCCAACTGGCCTGCGTGGAAGTCTGTGACCTACTTACAACACCATGGCAGAGAAACTCACCTCCTACCTGATTTATTTCCAAGAATCATGTCTTACTGCTTTTTTCTTTGTTTTCCCTTTTCTTTCCTGTCTGGTGCTATTTAGTCTGAAGACCAGTCTGAGGTGAGCCCTCTCTCCAGCCCCGTTCTCCCCCAGACCAGCTGATTTCCATCTCAAACGCCAAGTAGACAAGTCAGCTTTCTCTTAATATATTTGTCTCCAAGCTCAAATGCACTTTGATAAAGTATATTCTTACACTTCTCTCAGCAGAACAGTCCACCAGACACCAAAAGCCTTTCTGAATAACCCAGCTCCCCGCAGCAGGATCCATCAGGACTTCTTTATGGGAGGCCTCGGCATTTTGCTTCTTGTAAAGAGTGAGAGACAGCTCATGTCCTGGACAAGCTGTGATGAGGGAGAAGCCCACAGCTGGGCAGAGCTCAGTGCTGGGTCTGCAGAAAAGCCCCACGGCTGGGGCTCCTAAGCTGCAGCCCTTTATGGACAGGTGCGTTTTGAAACAAAGCTTCATCAGCTGCAGGGAGAACACTGTCCAAAGATCTGCGCATATAGTATGGCACAGCATGAACCCCACTAAAAGCTATGCAAAATAATAATATGAAAGCCTGAGCACCAATTTTTCTTGTAGAGAAGCAGGGGAAAGGCAGTAAAGAAGGGAATCAATATCCCATGCAGTCTTAATATGTTCTTTTTCATTTTCTCTCTATATCTATTTTTTAAATATCTTCTGCTTTTGAACATAGGTTGCTTTCTGCTGCCTCCTCTGAGAGTATCATATTTTTGCTGAGGCCTCTACTCGGGTTTGTGGCTTCTGAGCATGATTTGTTTCTTAACAGCAGTGTCTGCAGTTCCAGCTGAAGCCAACTTCTGATTATGCATTTTACCAGATAATTTACTCAAGAGAATAAAACCGCCATAAATATTGCCTTGGAGGTTCCTCTCATCACCAGAATCACAATTACAGTTAGGTCCTGCATGATGTGGAGTAACCATTAGCAAAGGCCTAAGCATAATTTCTGGGTGCTGAAGCTCAGGCAGTGCTCATACAGGTACGGATGATGGATGAGCCTGGTGAAGCTGTGCGGTGGGCATGCCAGTGTTATGTGCTGCTCAGTAGCAGAGCAGCAGACGTGCCATTCTAGGCTGTGTTAGTGGAGGAAGATGTGTCTCATGTATTTTCTCTGTCTTTTAGAAGCAGACTTCAGAGGGATGCTCCAAAAGTAATGCCTCCTACTTTATTATACTGACCTACAATGTCAAAGGCCGATGTTGGTGGTATGACAGTAGAGATGGAACCTTCCTGCCACTGTTCCACTATGTTCTGTTGCTATGTGACAGATGGCAGCAGAGGGGCAGTCTGACAAGATGGCGTCTGATCTACTACTTGATGTAGTGATTGGCAATCCTGCCTATGGCGGGGGTTGGAAATTGATGATCTTTGAGGTACCTTCCAATCCAACCCTGTCTATGATTCTATATGTTTCCATGATTCTATGATTCTATAGATATGGAAGCGTTCAGGAAGCAAAGGTGTGTATTCCTCCACATGGAAAAAGTTGCACCCCTTGACATTCACTGACTCTTGGTGAAACTTAATGGAGGCCAAACAAGGGATGTTGGCACACTGAAAGTTGGTCAGTGTGGGCAGCATTCCCCTAGCAACAATGCCATCCTAACAGCTGTGAAAAAACTCCACACGTGCAGATTTTTATGAGCACAGCATCATAAAACACATAGCTAATAGCTTAATAAAACACATAGCTAATGGTGGAGACTAAGCTGAAAAATACTGCTTTATAGCTGAGAATTTGCTCTCTTCTATCAAATAGTGTTATGCTCCTTGTATCTTTTGTAGTTTCCATGGAAATAAATAGGAGGCGTTATTTTGGAGTGACCTATGTAAGGCTGCATAGCAGACATGTAACAGAGATATTGTCTGGAATCATGCATTCTCAATGTCTCAAGTTGTGCCAGGGAGGTTTAAGTTGGATATTAGGAAGAATTCCTTTATGGAAAGAGTGCTCAAGGGGTGCTCAAGCATTGGAACAGAGAGTGATGGAATCTCCAACCTGGATGGGATTTCCCTGTGGACATGGCATTAAGAGATATGGTTTACTGATGGGACTTTGTAGACCAGGTTAATGGTTGGACTTTATGATCCTGAAGGTCTTTTTCAGCATGAATGATTTTATAATGTACAGGGATTCTTCTGAAAAGAAGGAGAGAGGTAAA